CTACAAGTGCAATATCCCAGTCATCTCAACAGAGCAGGCATCATGCTGGTCTTCTCCTGAGCCCTCTCCTTGTGAGGGTAACCAGTGAAGCTGGTTGGAATTTAGACTGCTGTAATGCAGCACTGCCTAACTCAGACATGAACTTTTATTAAAGAGAGGGACTTCATCTGGGGCTCCACGACCCTCACATTAACCCTGCAAAGTGAAATTGTTCTTAAAAAAAGTGGTAGAACAGTTCTGAACATACTGGCAGGAACAAGGTGAACAACGAAGGAAAAGGAAAATGCTGTAGCCTGAAGCAATGCTTTGAGAGTTCATGCTTGTGGTCACTAATAACATGATGTAAAATCACATTTTGTGAAAAACGACATTTGCCCAACTGTAGATCGCCAGGTTCTACAAAAAGGTACACAACATAACGTATGCAACTCACCGATGAAGGCATTTATAAATTATTTCATCCAGCACAATCTGCTTAAAAATTGGTAACTCCTTGTGGAACCAAATACCTGCTGGCCATCAAACAGCGGCTAAGTAAGTCTGTTTCAGAAAGGAAAAAAAAACGTTGGGCTTTGAGGCAGTGATTAAAAAGAGGTAAATCCCATTAATTATTATTAGCAGTTGAGCATACTGCTTCTTTAAAGCTTTAGCTTGCTCAGAGCACAAGTACAAATTAGGAAGATGCTATACAGAATATGGAACTCTAGAACTAAAACCGTTTTATGCTTGTTGCCATCATGCAAAGTGCACAGACTTCTGGGAAATAAAAACGTAAGTCAGCAGAAACCACTACGATATTCACACTGCAAACATCAAATAAAAGAGCTAGCTCATGTTTTTGTAGACTATCTGCTGGAGAGGGATTACACGGACATTATCATACCATCAGATCTTACAACTTTGACACACTCTCACAGTACCTAATGTTTTTTGGAGATGTCCTCAAATTCATCTGATTATAGTAAAATCTTAACTTCTAAGTACCTAAAAAACTAGTGATTGCTAAGATGAGCCTGAAAATGTCAACCCTAAAGCTGCAAGCATCAAGTGGGAAAAATGCATATTCTACAACTTTTTATTTTAAGTTTTTAATCTTGTCATTTTTTTAAGGCAATCTCATGGTTTTGGGATCAGACCCGACTCTTGAATGTGAAAGAGTTTATGAATATAGGATAGAGTGGTAAAGTCTTAAGTCCTGCATCTATGGGGAATTATTCCCAGCACCGGATAATAATTATGTTTTCTGTTTTTGACCTACCATGTTAAAAGGGGACATTATAAACAATAAATTAGATGGATGTTTACATCTTTGTTACTACAAAATATGGTAGGTGATTAAGAAAAACACAACTAAACATACAGTAGATCATTCAAGATGTTTACTTTTTACTTTTCTCTTTGCTTAAATCATGAAAACAAAACACCAAGTTTCCCTCTTATTATTTTGCTAACTGTTATGATGGTTCTTATGGACAGCATAATATAACATCTTGCAAACGTACCATCCAATTAGCACAAAGTAGTAGTTCATTATA